TCACTGAAAGTACTACACCTTAGAAGTGACAATTAATTTGAATACCAAGCTTTGACCCTTCCCAAAAATCTTCCATAATACAGCCTCATGTCATATTCCCTCTCTCTCCTGAGGATGGGGTCACAACTCCATGGGACCTCAGATTCAAAGTACTGATATATTAATTTCAAATGGACAGTGTTCTCTCCTGAGAGATCTTGGTAACTATTTTCCAAATAACAGTTGAGCTACAATTTTGTATTAGGCATTATTCTAGGCTTTTCATATTGATAAATCAGTAAAACAAACAAACAAAATAACACCAATGATCTCTATCTTAATTATATTTGTATTTTAAAAGAGGAAGGCAGGTCACAATAGGTATAAAAATAAGTGACGTGTGCAGTACTTTAGAAGACAATGTATTCTATGAAAAGCATAATAGAACACTTCTGAATGAAGTATTGGGAAAGCCTATGTTTAGAGTGAGCAGAGCAGTTGACACTTGCCTTTCCTTTTTTTTTTTTTTTTTTTAAACGGAGTCTCAGCCTGTCGCGCAGGCTGGAGTGCAGTGACATGATCTCGGATCACTGCAACCTCCGCCTCCCGGGTTCAAGCGATTCTCTCGTCTCATCCTTCAGAGTAGCGCGCCACCACGCCCAGCAAATTTTTGTATTTTTACGTGAGATGGGGTTTCACCATGTTGGCAAGGGTGGTCTCGATTTCTTGACCTTGTGATCCGCCCACTTCGGTCTCCCAAAATGCTGGGATTACAGGCGTGAGCCACCGCGCTTGGCTGACACTTGTATTTCTAAACAAATGGTAGAAATCTATTTTATTGTAATGCAATTATTTAGCAAAGTCTTGAAAGCACTGAATGGATTAATATCCTTATTTGTGAAAAGATGGTTTCAGGCAGAGAGAACAGCCAGTGTGAAGACCCTATGGTGACAGCGTGCTTGGTGTGATGAACAAAACCAAACAATGTGGCTGGGACAAGGTGAGTGAAGAGTTCAGAATAGTACGATAATGGAGAAGGAACGCTGGAACCTGGTCACACAGAATCCTAAATAACTCGCATTTGAATAAAATTTTGATTTCTCTGTTGAAAAATAGACTGAAAGACAGAAAAGACAGAATTAGGTTAGACGTATTAAGAAGGTATTAAATTCACTCAAGTCACTTTCGATGACAGCTTGACCCATATTGGAAACACTGCTGGCACTGAGAAGTGGCTTGAATCTGAATGTATTGTAAGGGTACAACCAGGAATATTTCTCAATGTATTGTATGTGGATTATGAGAAAAATAGGAGTTGTTAATGGTTTAAAGGCATTTGACCTAATCAACAGAAAGGATGGAGTTATTATTGACTGAAATAGGGATGGTTGCTTATGGAGCAAGTTTGGAGGGGAAATAAGAGTTTAATTTTGGATATGTTGGACTTGGGATATCTATTATTCACCCAAATAGAGATTTCAAGTAGACAGTTGAATATGTGAGTATGGCGTTCAAGACTACATATCTAGTCTCGAGAGATATAGCTGGAAGACACTGATTTATAAGTGATATCAAAGATGAGAAAACATTGAAATGAGTATAGTCAGAGAGGAGGGGAGACTCCAAGACTGAGAGGTGAGGGAGAAGAGGAAAGATTAAAACCTAATTACATATGTATTTAACCAAAAATTGATACAGAGAAGATAACAAGAATATAAGACAAAGTTAAAAGTGTGTAGGATCAATGGATTGCAGTGCCATTAATGTGTGAAACTAATGCAGTCAACTCACTAGAACAGAATAATTTCAAACAGGAAAAAGTTTTGGTCAGAAAGTAGAATACATAAAATTAAAACAAAAACATATGCATCACTTTGTAATTTCCAAATTTTAAGGAAAACATTCCTTTTAAAATGAAGTGGAAATAATCTAAGAAATAAAATCTTCTAAATATGACTTGCATTCCTATTTTTCCTTTAAAATAATGAGAAAGCAGATTGATGGCAAGATGCTCTAAGATAATAAAAAATACATTATATTTTGTCTATGTAATTTATGTACTTGTCAAACGTTATTCCAAGGATGAAGTAGCCTATTTGAAGTTGCATATTGACATCTGATGGATGACTTTCTACAGCAGCATTATTATGTTTTGAAAATCTGAGGTCAAAATACTTCATGATAATGAACAAAATAATAAATTCATTTTCTCTGAATTCTTTATTCTTTAGCATAATAGATCACTCAAATTCTGCTCTAATAAAATCTAGCAAAATGAACTGAAAATAGAATTAAAAATAGACATAATATTAGAATTTTGAATGTCAGTTATAAAGAAGATTCACATTTCAGTTTATGTGTTCATGCAGATGTGAAAATGAGATCTTTCATGTGTAATATGTATTATACAAATTATCTATTCTATAACAAACATAATATTTTAGGTTAGATTTTATCAAATATATTATGATATTTATTATGGAATATATTTATCTATCATATTCATTTAGAATGTAACATTTATTCATATTATTATTATTATTATTATTTGGAACAGGGTCTCACTATGTTTCCCATAACAGAGTTCAGTGGCATGATCATAGTTCACCATAACCTTGAACTCCAGGCTCAAGCGATCCTCTGGCCTCAACCTCCAAAGTATCTGGAATTACAAGCACATGCCACTTCATCTGATCCTCCTGCCTTGACCTCCCAAAGTACTGGAGTTAAAGGCATAAACCACTGTGCCTGACTAAATGCAGTATTTATAATATACAAATAAAATATCAAGATCTATGTGTATAAGAAACTCTATTCAAAAGTAACAATACATGTGAAAATTGTCACATATGATTTTCCTGTATTTAGGAAAAATAATAAAACAAATAGCCACAATGGATAAACAAAATAAATTGAAAGTGTTATCTTCAAAATAATGTAATATTCTATGGTTTATTGATCCCAAATCGATAGCCTTCACCGAAGAATATAAAAACAGAAACCCCACTGAACTGTTTGTCATAAAGCTGTTAAAATCCTGATAGTAAAACTAGAAAAGAACAGTGAAAAAATGTTGAAAAATATTATTTATTAACATAATTTTAAAATTGTAAATCATATATAAGCAAAAATACTAAAACATTTATCTTTGTACTAGAGCGATATCAGTCTACATTATTACTCTGCATGCTCTTTAAAATGTGATTTTGAGCTCCTGTATTCAAAATGTGGAGTGTCTTCTCCCATCTTTTGAATCTAGAGTATGCTTGTGACTTACTTTTACTAAAAGAACACGGTGGAAATAATGTGCTAGTTCTGAATCCAGGACTTAAAAGCGTAGATTAGCATTCTAGGGGATGAGAGACAATTTGAAGTAGAGCTAAATCAGACTGGTTGTACCAGCCAAACCTCACACATGTGAGAAGGCTCATCTAACATGCAACATGATCCATATCTGACATGACCCATAAATGAACACAGTTGCATGAATAAACTAAACTTAGCCAAGCTTAGATAGAAAAAAATAATAATAATAATTGAAGTAACCGATAGACTCATGGGCAATAAACAGGAATTCTTAAAATAGTTCATTTCTGTTATTTTGTTGTTGCTGTTTCATTATGATGAAATACATATAACATTAAACGTAACCATTTTAATAATTTAAGTGTACAATTCAGTGCCATTAAGTAAACTAACATTGTTGTGCAACAGTAATTACCATTCGTCAGAAGCTTTTTATCTTCTGAAACTGAATCATTGTAGTTATTCAACAATATCTCCTCAATGTTCCTTTCTGACAGCCTCTGGAAATCTTTATTCTATTATCTGTCCAAGAATTTGACTATTTTAGATACCTCATATAAGTTGAATTACATGCTATTTGTCCTTATGTTTCTGACTTATTTCACTTAGCATAATGTGTTTAAGATTTATTCCTGCAGTAGCATGTATAAAAATTTCATTCCTTTTAAGGCCAAATGATATTCCCTAGTATGCATGCACCTTACTTTGGCTACCTATTCATTGGTTGATGAACACAATGTGTTTCATCTTTTGGCTATTGTGAATAGTGATGCCATGAACATTGATGTACCAATATATGTTTGAGGTTTTGCTTTCAATTATTTTTGAAATATACTGAAAAACGAAATTTCTCGGTCATATGGTCATTCCATTTTTTTTTTTTTTGATAAATCAGAGTATTGTTTTCCACAGCATATACATTTTCATCAGCAACACACAGGCACTCGAATTTTTCTACATCCTAACCAACATTTGTTATTTCTTGTTTGTTGATTGATGGATTGAGGTAACACATTATTATTGATGCTTTGAAATTTATTAGAATTTGGCCTACCATATGATCTAATCCTGGAGATTTTTCCATGTGCACTTGAAAAAGTACATATTTTTTTCTCTTATTGGGTGGAGTGTTCTGTATGTCTGTTAGTTCCAATCACTTTATAGTATTGTTCAAGTCCTCTATTTCCTTATTGATTTTCTATCTTTTGTATCTTATTGTTCTATTCACTGTAGAAAGTGGAGTATTGGAGATTTCAACTATTATTGTAGGATCTTTTTTTTGTCGATTACGTCAAGTTTTGCTTCATAGATTTTACAGCTTTGACATTATGTACACATGTGTTTTATAACGATAAATCTTCTTAGTGATTATTTCAACCATTCCCATTTAGTGCAGCAAGATCAATAAGGTGATCTTTCAGTGCCTCTCTTCAATTTCGTGGCAGGAATAACATAGTCAAAGTAAGGAGACACGTGAAAATAGGGAAAAAAAGGAATAAAAATTGAGAAGCAAGAAAAATGCTGTCATTTACAGCAAATAAGAAGACTGATATAATTACTTGCCAAGGTTGTTCAATACTAGTAATATACATTCCTTGAAGAGTAAGAGTGACTGGGATCCAAATTGCTGGCAGAGGTGAGCTCTTCCTTTATGATAGGAGTAAAAAGACTACAATAAATGCAGATGTTATAGTATTTGAAATAAGAAGTTTTACTGCTCGACATGGACACCGGTATGATTGAAGGTGGATTAAATGTCACTCTCACCATCCGGCTACTTATGCATGGAAAGGAAGTTGGCAGTATCATCGGAAAGAAAGGAGAATCAGTTAAAAAGATGCGCGAGGAGAGTGGTGCACGTATCAACATCTCAGAAGGGAATTGTCCTGAGAGAATTATCACTTTGGCTGGACCCACTAATGCCATCTTCAAAGCCTTTGCTATGATCATTGACAAACTGGAAGAGGACATAAGCAGCTCTATGACCAATAGCACAGCTGCCAGTAGAACCCCGGTCACCCTGAGGCTGGTGGTCCCTGCAAGTCAGTGTGGCTCTCTCATCGGAAAAGGTGGTTGCAAGATCAAGGAAATACGAGAGAGTACAGGGGCTCAGGTCCAGGTGGCAGGGGATATGCTACCCAACTCAACTGAGTGGGCCATCACTAGTGCTGGCATTCCGCAATCCATCATTGAGTGTGTCAAACAGATCTGCGTGGTCATGTTGGAGACTCTCCCGGTCCCCCCCGAAAGGCGTGACCATCCCGTACCGGGCCATGCTGTCCAGCTCTCCGGTCATCTTTGCAGGTGGTCAGGACAGGTACAGCACAGGCAGCAACAGTGCGAGCTTTCCCCACACCACACCGTCCATGTGCCTCAACCCTGACCTGGAGGGACCACCTCTAGAGTTGACCAAGCTGCACCAGTTGGCAATGCAACAGTCTCATTTTCCCATGACGCATGGCAACACCGGATTCAGTGGCATTGAATCCAGCTCTCCAGAGGTGAAAGGCTATTGGGCAGGTTTGGATGCATCTGCTCAGACTACTTCTCATGAACTCACCATTCCAAATGATTTGATTGGCTGCATAATCGGGCGTCAAGGCGCCAAAATCAATGAGATCCGTCAGACTTCTGGGGCGCAGATCAAAATTGCGAACCCAGTGGAAGGATCTACTGATAGGAAGGTTACCATCACTGGATCTGCTGCCAGCATTAGCCTGGCTCAATATCTAATCAATGTCAGGCTTTCCTCGGAGACGGGTGGCATGGGGAGCAGCTAGAACAATGCAGATTCATCCATAATCGCTTTCTGCTGTTCACCTCCACCCATGATCCATCTGTGTAGTTTCTGAACAGTCAGCGATTCCAGGTTTTAAATAGTTTGTAAATTTTCAGTTTCTACACACTTTATCATCCACTCGTGATTTTTTAATTAAAGCGTTTTAATTCCTTTCTCTGTTCAGCTGTTGATGCTGAGATCCATATTTAGTTTTATAAGCTTCTCCCTGGGTTTTTTTTTTTTTTTTGGCTCATGAATTTTTCTGTTTGTTATGGAAATGTAAGAGTGGAATATTAATACATTTCAGTTTAGCTCTGTAATGTCAGGAATTTTTCAAAAAAATTAAAAGATGGACTGGAAGAAAAAAAAAAGAAGTTTTGCAACTTTCTTTTTGAATGCATCTACTTTTCTTATGAAGTTGTATGCTTTGAGTAAGAATGGAGATATAAAGAACTGAAAGTTGAAAAAAAGAACATTTGAAAAATTACCACAGAATGTGAACAAAAATTATCAAAAAATGTAGGACAATTTAAAAGTGACTTTGCTGAGTTTATAGCAGAAAATGTAAACATTTTATGTGAACTTTTATATCAACATAAGTCACTTGAATAGTTAAAGATGAAGACTGGAGGCTTAAAATCATTCAGACTGAAACTTTTGCTGGCAGAATTTGAGAAAAAGAAAGAGGATGAATACACTTTTGCATATAAATAAAAGTATTACTTTAATGATAGACAAGAAAAACTAAAACGGCCTTGAGAAAAATGAAGAAAAAGAAGTAGGTTTTTGAATTGGAAAGAGCGGAAATGTCAATAAACCAGAATGTATCTTGAAATCAAAGAGTAGTTATACTACGTTACATTGCAAAAGTTAGAAGAAGCAAACGTTTAATTAATGATATTCTTATCAAACAGTTACATGGTCTAGAGTGTAATTATGGGCGTGGGTCACTGAACTATGACCATTAAACCTTAGCAATATTCTACTTAAACATAGGAAAAAGTCACAATAATACTCATTCTCACATATTGATTAGATATTTTTTTTAGATGTCCTAGGAAAGCATTATAATAAATATGCACATAATTTAAAAGTTACATACAGAACTCATTTTTCGTATTTGTGTCCATAGAAATGATGAGCATTTTATTATTTTTTTGAAATAATTATAGACTTCAGCCAAAGAATTGAATATATGACTAACATACCAAAAAAAAAGAAGTTCATTTCGCTAAGATAGGATTGTATTTTGTTCTGTTTACTGTCCAAATAATAGAGGCCTGTGTTTCCATTTCCACATCTTTCATGTGAACTAGTCGCTTTCCATCTGAAAGCCAAACTATATCCCATATTTAGTATTGAGAAGGTCATTTATTTTATTTGCCATATTCAAAAAGTTTTAAGGTAAAGAAAATTAATAAAAGTAACTTATTTCAGGTATCTTTATTTTAGGAGAGTAACTAAAATATATGGTGTGAAGAAAGTAATTAAAATAATTATGTGTTACTATTTATTAAGGTACTTCTCAATCCGTTTAATTTCATTTCCATTAATTAATGTCTTGTGATTTATGGATCCACCCATAAAGAGATTGATATTAATCATGATTAGCTGTTAAATTAATGACTGATTCAAATGGATAATGTAGACAGTTCTGTAAGTAGATAATGATGATTACCAACTACACAAACATTTGTAAAATGAGTGAATTTCAAGGTAAAACTTTTGAAATTATGAGAAGCATTTTTATAGAATGTTCTGTTAAATTATGATAAACTTATATTGAAAGATTACATTTTTCATTTCTCTCTGTATTATTAAAATCCAATTTACCATAAAAGAACCATCTGTTTCAAAAATAAAAATAATCTAAGTAATAAACTTCTTTTGCGTGTTCAATATCTATCCAGCTGTATCACATTATGAAAGCAGTTTTATAAAGTGTAGGATGATTACATTATGAATAGTCTACCTAAACCTTTAGGGCAGATTTGTCTACATTTTACTGTTATTTCAAAAGATGTTCAAACTAGGTATATTATTTGGAGAAGAACCACTACATTAGCAAATAATTCTAATTTTATATAATACTATTAAATAAGACACATTTACTGAAAATAATAGGACATAAAATTTCTTGTCAAGATTCGCCTTGAAAAACTTGCTCAAAATTTAAGAAAATAAATTTCAGGGGTGAAAATGAAAGCAAACTTGATGTAGTCCAGCAAGAACCAACATAAGTATATTCCTAGGCCTTTCATTACTTCCAGGGGGCAGTTGAAGTTGAAGTTTTGTTCACTACTATCTGTTGTTCACCAAGAGTGCATGCATGCACTCTATTCTCTACAGTAAAACAAACAAACAAACAAACAAAACAAAAAACAAACAAAAAACAATTTGTCACTGTGGAGTCTCTGAGAAACATTTTGTTATTATTTTAACCTTACAATTTTTATGGCATCACAATAGCTTACTAATTTGATATTATTGTTGCAGGTTGGGGTCTCTTTGTACAGATGGACCTAATTAATCACATGGTAAGGAAAGGGGAGGGAAAGAAAGAGGGATAGTGAGAGGGAAAGGGGTGAGATTCAGATTTCCTGAGACCAAACTTTGTCTTCTAAATATGTGATATTGGACAAAGTTTATGATCAATCTCTGTCATGGTAACCTTGCCTATAATAGACAATAATAATAGGGTCTGAAGATGTGTTAAACTACTGTACATCAGTGCTTACGAGGTTGCCAGAAATATTTAACTACTTGATCAATGTCAACTTTTAATTAGTAGATGTAGTTGCGGTAGTAGATGTAGTATTAAGAGTAATATTCTCCCCAGTAGAGGCACCTGCCTGCCAAGACACATGCCAGGAAAGGCAACGGTGACCAAAGAATGTCACGTCCTTCGTAGTTGTGCCTTGTGCTGGACCTGTGACTCTTCTCCCCATGGAGCATCCCTACAACAACAAAACAAACAAACAAAAAGAGAGTAGTGTTCTCCAACTTCTTTACCTACAAATAGGTTAACAAATAGGCTAGTTGGCTGTATCTATTCTGAGGACTCTAGTTTTTGCAAACAATATACAAAATCTGGGAAGGTATTATTATTTTCCATTTTTATTGTAGGTTTCAGCTAAGCTCTCTTAAGTAACTTCATTAAAGTAAAATTATTGGCAAATTGTTACCACTAATAAAGAAAAAAATGTAATTTCTTATTTGCTTCTGAATTCTATTCTCTACCACTAAGAAAGTAGAGGATGAGAGGGTGAGAGGTATTAATTTCCTGTAGTGGTATACTTCTTTTATGGCAAGCCTCCCATTATGTTTCTTTTATATGTCTTAAATAATTTCATATTCCCCACATTTTCTTTTTCAGAATAATGTGAACATTGGCTTGAACATACGTCTGCACCTAGAATCCTAAACAAAAATATATATAATATTGTTAGCACTCTGGGTATTATCTTTATTTCCCCTTTCAGTCACTACATCCTGCACCCAAGATTGACCTCTCTCATGACTTCTAATAGCTTAGACACATTTTGCCTATTTTGTAGTTTCATGTCAATGGAGCTGCATATATGCACTTTTGCATAAGATTTCTTACGGTTGCATGTAGTTATATGTCGTTTCTTTTTATTACCAGATTTATAGGAGTTGGCTGTGTCCCCACCGAAATCATAACTTGAATTGAATAATTCCCATGTGTTAAATTGGGCGCTAGGTGAAGATAATTGAATCACGGGGGTGGTTTCCTCCATACTGTTCTTGCAGTAGTGAATAAGTCTCATGAGTTCTGATAGTTTTACTAATGCGAGTTCTCTGGCACAAGCTCTCTTGCTTGCTGCCTTGTAAGATGTGCCCTTGCTTCTCTTTTGTCTTCCACCATGATTGTGGGACTTCCGCAGACATGTGGAACTGTGAGTCAATTAAATCTGTTTCCTTTATAATTATCCAGTCTTGGGTATGAGTTATTAGCAGCGTGAGAACAAACTAATACACAAACAGTATGCTATTTTGTGACAATGGCAAAATATTCTATTGATGGACATTTGGATTATTTCTAGATATTGTTTTTCTAAACATGCTAATATATGTATTTGGTGAATATATGTATGCATCATAATTAGATATTACATTTGGAGTAAAAATAGTGGGTAACATGTATAGCTAAGTAGATACTGCCAAAATTTATCAACAGTGATTGTATCGATATATACAAGTTATGGTTACCCTATATCCATGCTAATACTTGTTATTATTAGGCTTTTGCATTTTTACCAACAAAATGATTATACCAATATCTAATTGTAAATTGAAATTGAATCTTCTCAATTTGTAATGTATTAAATACCTCTCATATGTTTGTTATTTAATAAACTCTAAAGTATTATTTGGAGAAAAAAGATATTGTTCTTTTCTGATGGTCATCACTGTGAATATGACTATAATTTTCAAAAAAAAGTTAACTTAGTTTTGCAAAATGTTAAAGTGCAAATATTGGGCTGGCATGGTGGCTCACACCTGTAATCCCAGCAGTTTGGGAGGCACTGGCCGAAGGATCACTTGAGGTCTGGAGTTTGAGACGAACCTGGGCAATATTGCGAAACCCCATCTCTACTAAAAATACAAAAATCAGCCGAGTGTGGTGGTGCACACCAGTAATTCTGGCTACTCAGGAGGCTGAAGCATGAAAGTTGCTTGCACCTGGGAGGTGGAGTTTGCAGTGAATCGAGATCACATGACTGCACTCCAGTCTGGGAGACAGAGCAAGATTATGTCATAAATAAATAAATAAATAAATAAATAAATAAATAAAGTAAAAATGTTATTACCTATAATATGAAACAATAGATTAATTCTATTTGACAACTATTATAATCATTGTGTTACTGTAAATAAATGTTAACATTCTAATGATAGGAACTTACACAGACATTCGTTAATTCTACACAAAAATATTCAGTCTCTTCTGCCCTTGTTTATGTTTTTTCCTACGTACATTTCACATCATCCCAAATCTATTATACCTATTAAACTCCTACACCTCCGTTAATGCTATCCCCAAAAGCAACAATAAAATGGAGTGCATTGCTATTTTTTCAACAGCTTTACTATTTCATTTTCTGTGTATACAAAGAACACACTAAAAATATCATTTTCCTCTACCACACTTAAAAT